CCTGCTTCTCCCTCTGACCCTCCCCCCTCTCATGTGCTCTCTCTTTCTTATTCTCTCTGTCTCAAATAAATAAATAAAATCTTAAAAAAAAAAAAGAGTAGAAGACTTTAATCCTGATGAAGTCAAATGTACTGATTTTTCATTTATGATTTGTGCTTTTTGTGTCCTGCTAAGAGTATTTTTCCTACCTCAAAGGCACAAAGATTTTCTCCAATATTTTCTGTTAGAAGTTTTATAGAGTTAGATTCTACATTTTGGTCTACGATACATTTTCAGTTAATTTTTGCTTGTGCTGTGAGATATGATTTGTAGTTTGTTTGTTTGCCTCTGGATATCCAATTGTACCAGCATAGTTTACTGAGAAAACTATCCTTTCTGCATTGAATTGGCCTGGTCTTTTTGTCAAAAATCGATTGTCAGCTAGGTCTATTACTTGACTGTCCGTTCTATTCCATTGACCTAAATGTCTCTTTACACCAGCACCACACCACTGGACCACTCATTGTAGCTTTATAACAAGTTCTGAAATCAGACAGTGTGAGTAATCCAACTACGTTGCTCTTTTTCAAAAAGAACTGGCATTGGCTGTTCTAGTTACTTTCCCACATAAATTTCAGAATCAGCTTGTCAATTCATTACACACACACACACCACCACCACCCAAAAAAAATTGCCTGCCAGGCCTTTGATTGGGATTCCATTGAATCTATAGCTCAATTTTGAGGGAACTAGGCATCTTAGCACTACTGAGTCTTCCAATGCATAGACACAATCTTACCCTTCATTTATTTATTTATTCTATGGTTTCTCTCACCAATGTGCTTTGTGGTTTTCAGCATACAAGTCTTGCACACATTTTGTTAAATGTCTATGTAGGTATTTCTACACCCAAGTATGATTTGGGTGCTATTTTAAATGTGTCTAGCTTTCTATATCTTAGACAAAAGCAGAACTCCAAAGTCTCACGAATCTTACTTTCTGGCCCATTTATGTGCCATTCTGACCTTTTCTTCCCACTTCCTTCCTACCTGAGGAAAGGCTCTTTTTATTCCTGTAAACCTCATAGCAAAGGGCAGATATCAAGAAGTCTTTACTGATTCCTCGAAGCACATGCATATCAAATGCTCTCATCTTTCAGCTCATGCTAATTTGTGGTTCAATTTCCTGATCCTCACATCTGAGCGCAGGAACATTTTGGCATCACCCCACTCCCACACACGGGGCTAAATCTGTGTTTAAAGATACCTGCCCCCTCAAATTTGGGCACAGAGATCTTTTTCCCTTTATCTTTACGTCTGAACCCCATCATTCACTGATGCGTGCATTCATTCAACCACCATGTCTGTGCCAGTCACTATGCTAGAGAACTCAGGTCTCTCAGAGCCTCAGTGTCCCTGGATATAATGGAGACTGTTGTTGGGGAAGTCCTAGACCAGAAGCATGGCTGGACATATGAAACATTCTTGATGTCTCTCTTCAGCTGAGACTTCACAGCTGCTGGACTATCCCTTTTAGAATGCCTGGAGGTTCCCTAGTGAACTCCCTCTAGCAGCTGTTCTAATGATCACTCTCCTCAAACACACCCTTCTACTCCCCCCCCCCCTTCCCTAGGGATAAATCAAGACTGTCATATGTGAGCATCCTCACCATCTTTCAGACCTGCCATTAGCCTCTCAGCTTTACTCAAGCCACCTGAGTGGCAGGGGAAGCACCGGGTTCCGGTTAGGACCATGGCCAGAAGCAACACCTGGGCTGGGCTAGGGGATAGGTGGGGTAGGGACAGCTGACATGGGAACGGGCCTCTGAAAGCTGGAACAACTCAAACTTTCAGGGAACACCACTGGCCCAAACTGGGAAAGCCCCTGCCCAGCCCTGCCTGAGAAGTGGGCTGGAGAGAATAACTGGTGGTGTTCACCACACTCTTGGCGAGAGCTACCAACCACAAACATCAGAGCCCACAGATAACACTTGCTGATAAGCAGACACTTTGACTTCCCTTTCCCAGTTCCCTCCTCAGTCCTGTCCTGCTTTTACTTGTTCTCACCTTCCTGGAGTCAAGTCCCAACCTCTCTCTCACTTCTGACCTCTCTCACACTTGATCTTCTTTCTCTGCCTTTCTTTGTATTTGGACCATCCATCACTCTCCGACACTTCCAGCTGAGGCCGTTCTCCCATTCTTAACATCTGATATTTTCTTAGTTGAGGACCTCAACTGTCCAGGGTCAGTGCCTCCCCTCTTCAGGGCAGGACACCTCCCAGGGACTGCGGGTGTGTGTACTCGAGCATGTGCATGTGCTGGGATTGTTTTAGGTCACTGGCAGGCAGCAGCTGATGGGCTGCAGGATGGCAGGCCCAAACGGAAGATCTAGACAAGAACATAGGAGCTGGGAGGCAGGGACCCAGGCACGACACCTGACACAAGTCATTACCTGAGGCAGAAGCATAGGGAACCTCATCGGCTGCTTT